TTAAAATTTTATTAAAAAATTTTAAAATTTAAAAAAGTTTGCAGGCAAATTTGGCTGCAAAACAATTTAAGAGATAAATATTAATATATATATAATTGTAATAGCAATCAAGTTTTATTAAGAGGTTAATAAAATAAACTTTGTATGTATTCTAAGAAATCTATTATAACGATAGGATTGAAGAGTTCTTGTTCTAACCTAAGCTATAAAAAATATTCATTGAATAATCATTAATCACTTAACGAATATAAGCCACAAAAAATATTCATTGAATATTCAGTTAATTATTTCGGTATGCATTGTTATGTGTAAATTAGTATTCAATGAATATTCATTGAATATTTGAATATTTATTTGGAATTTTCAATGAATATTCGAATAATAAATAATTGAACAAATGAATATTCAAATATTTTTTTTTTGACTAGATAAGACCTCTATGTAATATACCACTGCAAGCCCCCCTAGTGCTACCAATCTAAAAAATTTCACTAATCACGTGCTGGCCAATCAAAATTTTTTTCTTAACGATGATATTGTTAAGATATTTTTTTTTTTTAAAAAAAAAGAAAATTATACAATATTTAAAACCAATTTTTTTTAATAAAAAAAATTTTTTATTTATTAAAATTAACAATAGCTATTTTTTACAAAAAAAAACTATTAAGAAACTATTCTCCACAGCCTAATTAAAATGTATCTTTTGCAATTTTACTAATAGAAACTTTACTCCTAACCCAAACCCTAACCCAACCCCAAATTACAATATTAAATTCTCAGCAAAAATTACAAGAGAATCAACTTTTCTAGGTGTGCTACTAACCCAATCCAACCCAAACTACACTGTCGAATTCTCAGTAAAACGAATCACCAAAAGAACGGTGAAGGGACCACTAAAAAAACGATGAAAGAATACCAGAACACCAAAAAAATAACGAAAAAGTGGTAAAAGAAGCACCGAAAAAGTGATGAAAAGGTGAAAAAACGACAAAAGAAAATGTTGACTTAAAAAAAAAAAAAAGATTGCGAAAAAAGTATTAAAAATCAAAAAACGACGAAAAACGATGGAAAACTTCAAAAGAATGACAAAAGAGCGCCAAAAAAAATCACCAAAAAGCGACGAAAGAAGTGCGGAAAAAGTGACCGAAAAAAGAAGCTCCAAAAAAATGACGTCAAAAAAATTATTGAAAAAAAACAAGAACAACAAAGAACAACAGAAAACTCCAAAAGAACGACAAAAGAGTGCCAAAAAATCGCTGAAAAGTGACAAAAGAAGTGCTGAAAAAGCGACTGAAAAAAGAGGCTCCAAAAAATGATGCAAAAAAAATTATCAAAAAAAAACATACTAAAAAAAAAATAAAAAAATAAAAAGCCTAATTTTAGTAGTTGATCAGTCTATCACATAATCAGTAAACTTTTTTAGATTGGTTACGCTAGGGTCTTATACCACTACACAGTTTTCGTGTTTCTATGCTCACATGACTCCCTGTTATTAGTTGAACTATTGACCCTGTTATTGAGGCAAAACTTTTATTTTTAATACTCTTAAACCTACTTTTTTGATACTGATCGATATACAGATTCTGATAAAAATAAAGATTTTAAAAACTTTAAGCGAAGATAGCTCGACAAGTACCTGCTTGAATCTGATAAGACTTTATATTTGAATTCTATAGATTCATGGAATCCAAATAAAAAAAAATTCGTTAAATTTAGCCATGTGGCTGTCGCAATATCTTTGCTCAAAATTAGAAAGCCTATTAAAATAGAAACTGCACCAAATTTCTTCTAACTTTGAGCGAAGATATCTCGATAACTATCTGGCCAAATGCAATAAAACGTTTTTTATTTGAATTCTATGAATTCATAGAATTCAAATAAAAAAAAACATTAAATTTGCTATATAGTTACCGAGATATCTTCGCTCAAAATTAGAGAGTCTATCAAAATAGAAGCTGTACCAAATTTCTTTCTAACTTTGAGCGAAGATATCTCGATAATGGTCTGTTCAAATTTGATAAAACTTTTTTTTCAATTTTATAGATATATAAAATTTAAATAAAAAAAATTTTACCACATTTAATCAAGTGTTTGTCGAGATATCTTCGCTCAAAGAAAAAATTAAAATGTATATCTACGCCAAATTTTCTTTCTAACTTTGAGCGAAGATATCTTGACACCCTTTTGACTAAATGCAATAAACTTTTTTTTATTTAATTTTTATGAATCCATAGAATTGAAAAAAAAAAAGTTTTATCAAATTTGAACAGACTGTTATCGAGATATCTTCACTCAAATTTAGAGAAAAATTTGGCACAGCTTCTATTTTGATAGGCTCTCTAATTTTGAGTAAAGATATCTCAACAACCACATGGCTAAATTTGATAAATTTTTTTTCATTTGAATTCTATGAATTCATAGAATTCAAATAAAAAATATATTATCATATTTGGCCAGATAGGTATCAAGATATCTTCGCTCAAAGTTAGGAGAAATTTGGCACAACTTTTATTTTAATAGGCTCTCTAATTTTGAGCGAAATTATCTCGATAGCTACATGGTTAAATTCGATGTATTTTTTTTTATTTGAATTCTATAAATCTATAGAATTCAAATATAAAGTTTTATTGGATTCAAGCAGGTAGCTATCAAGTTATCTTCGCTCAAAGTTTTTAAGAGTAAGGTGTAACTATTTCCAAATTCATATAAAATAGATTGTAGATTAACTTTGTGTAACCAATATCATATATATCATATGGGGTTTTTGCCTTGAAAATCACGTTTTGGAACATATGATTTACTATGTTCCATAACGTGATTTTCAAGGCAAAGACCCATATGATTTACATGTAAACAACACATGATTTGACCAATCATAATTAGCAATTCTTTGTATAATTAGAGAAAAACACATAGTGTCCAGGGAAATTTTTAGTTATATGTAAAGTTAATTTTTTTAAAAACAATATTTATTGTATAACTTTATTATTATAAACAAACTATTTTAAACTACATATTGTACAAATTTGATACAAATTGGTTAAGGTATTAAAAAGTTTTATTAGAAGCACTTTTTTGTTTACTATGTAAAAATTCAATAAACCACGTAGATCATATGAAAATTGATCTACGTACACCCTACCCTTAAAATTTTTATTTTTACCGGGATCTGCATGTCAATCAGTATCAAAAAAGAGGTGCAGGTGTATCAAAAATGATTGTTTTGCGTTATTGAGAGAATGCGGCTTATGATTACATGACTTTAGGTAGTATAATTTAGGCCAGAATGATAATGTTAGCCAGAATAAGAAAAAATGAACTAACGAAAGTAAAAAATTTGGCCTTAGCTATTAGCCAGCCGCTAAGCTGAACTTTTTATCGGCAGACTTTATGGCTTGTAACACTATTCAGAAGTAACTCGATGTGGTATTAACTAAAGAAGATACTATTTTATGTATATAGGGGTAAACAATAATTAAAGAGAAAATCACCTTTTTCTATTACTATTGTATTGCTTTTGAGATAAAACCATATCAATATACTAGCAAACTAATTAGAGCCCATAAAATTGATCTCATAATCCAACTTCTAAAATACCATACCGCTACAACTAGTCATTTCGATAAAGGTGGAACCAATTTATCTGTACGAATGAATTTTACTAATTGTATGGATTATCCGATTATTCCGTCATGCAATACAAACTTATAACCAAGATTTACACCGTTATTGATTTCAATCTTTCAACCAACAAATTTCTAAACAACGATCTATACATCTTAAATTTGAGTTTATTGTGTTTACTCATAACACGAAAAAAATAAAATCCATGATATGTTTCTGCACGATTAGTACTATTTATTTTTAAGTACAGGCCACCCTCGATAATATCAACACAAAATCAAATTTTTAGAATTTTTATATATGATTTCAAATGGGTTGATATTAACGAGGGTCACCTGCACCTGGTTTATCCGTTTATCTAAACAGAAAATCATTTAAATATAAATTCAATATTAATTATTATTATTATGAATTTTTATTTTTACACATCATAAAAGTCGTCTGGTCGATTTTATAAGGGTATAAAATATCGGTTTATCGTCTTGATCTATTGTATCAGGATCACAATTTGTCGATATACGGTCAACTTTCTATGTAAGATATGGATTTATAGTGAAGTTGAATTAAGAGAGAATTTTTTTTGATTGATTTACACTACTCTTATTTCGTGTACGTGAAATTTGAATGCTAGAATAGTTTAGAAAACAAGTTTTATGATCCTTTACTATCTTGAATCCCGCTTGACATAAATGAAAGAACTTTTTCTAGAGTGAGATCACCTTGAGATCCAATTTCTTCGCTTGTTAAATTAGAATCAAGCTCACTGTCCTCTACTCTGTATTTTGTATTAATCTCTCCAATTACATTTTCAGCAAATTCTGACGCAGCAGATGCAACCTTTGCATGTTCACTGTATCGTATCATCCATTCATTTAATAATTTATCCCATTTTGTTTCATCATTCATATCAACAATAGCATCTTTTTCATCCTGATATAAATCTTCCTCGATAGAAATATTATGTTTGATACGTTCTTCTTCTTCTTCGATTTCAGGAATGCGTTTTGTTCGCAATAAAAATGAAATCTTTTCATCTTGTTCTGGTGGTGGAATTTCTTTGGGATGAACCACAATTTTTCGCAAATTCGATTCAATGAAAGTGTTTGAAAACCCCACGTGCTTGGAAAGAAATATGTTAAATCTATTAAGATAATCAACCCTCAAAAGTAAATTATTGGTTTATTATGTAAGTATAAATATAAAAATCATATCAAATATAATAATCGGTAAGAAACTTACCAGTTCACGAGAGAAGGATCCGTAATCTCATTCATGTAAGTAATAAATTCTTGCTGAGCCTCGTTAACTGAGCTCATTCTTGATCTTACAAAATCAACATGTTCAAGTTGATCATACAACGGCGTTGTCCTTGGTTTTTGTGCCATTCTTTCGATAAGTTACAAATAAAAAATATTAAATTCTGCTTTTTTTATATCGGTTTATCAAGTAAATCTTAGTAATCATATTGTACCACCAGAGATTCGGAAATTTTTATTTCTACAGTAATTTCAGAATTTACTTTCTAACACTAATAAACAAAAAAAAAATGGAAAATCTTAAAACAACGTTGGAGCTTGACGATCTCGTAAATCTTGAGACGATGTAAGTAGACCTTTACTCCTCAATATAGGTCTGATCGTATCCAAAATCCTATAAATCAAAAATAGGTTTATAGAAATAGGCAGGGAAGACGGGCTAAAAAATGGCACTAAATCAGGAATCTTAGAAGGTCAATTACTTGGATGCGAAAAAGGTTATGAGTTATTAAATGAAATCGGATTTTACGATGGTGTGACTGAAATGTGGTTGAAGATATTAGAAAAAGGGTTGAATATACATAATACTAAAAGACCAATAAATGAACGGTGAATTATTTTTGCTTTAAAATTAATATTTAATAAGGAATTGTTTTAATTGATCATAACTAATCTAGCTTTAATAAATAGCTTAATTAAAAAACTTACTTCTCTACGAGAACTAATTTCAACATTTCCTATTGAAAACCAGCAGAACGTAGAATTTTTAGATTTATTAAGTAAAGTTCGATCAAAATATAAAGTTTGCACCTCACTTTTAGGTGTAGCTAATTCTCAAAGATTTAACAAAACTAGTAATGAATCCGACATTGGAGATCAGGATATTAGCGATAACACAAATACTCATGGCGGTAATATGATCTTTTAATGTTAATATATATTTCTTTAAGAGGTTTATAAGTGCAGCATTTCAAATAATTTATAGAATATAGTGGTAATAAACCAATAGAGCTTAGTATATAGCTCAAAAAACTAGTTTTTATTAGTTCTATTTAGTGCTTTATGCTATATATATATATATATATATATATATAGCAAAATTATATCGATATCAATTTATGCATCCAGATCAAATTTAAAATTTATCTTGAAA